ACCATCAAAGCCCTCCCAACAGATGGATATCCAGCCTCTGATTACAAACTTCAGAGAAGGAAGCTCCATCATCATAATTATAAAAGGATATTATTATTATTATTATTATTATTATTATTATTATTATTATTATTATTCTATACAGTAAGACACCATCAAAGCCCTCCCAACAGATGGCCATCCAGCCTCTGATTACAAACCTTCAGAGATGGAAGCATCATCATCATTATCATCATCATCATCATGGTCATTGTTGTTGTTATTATGATTGAATTCTAGATTTGGAAGAGACCCCAAGGGCTACCTAGTCCAAACTCCTTCTGCCATACAGTTAGACACTATCAAAGCCCTCCGAACAGATGGCCATCCAGCATCTGTTTACAAACCTTCAGGCATGGAGGCTCCATCATCATCATCATTGTTGTTCCTATTGTTATTATTATTGAATCCTAGAGTTGGAAGAGACCCCAAAGGGCCACTCAGTTCAAAGCCCTTCTGCCATACAGTTAAGACACCATCAAAGCCCTCCAAACAGATGGCCATCCAGCGTCTGTTTACAAACCTCCAGGCATGGAGGCTCCATCATCATCATTGTTGTTGTTCCTATTGTTATTAAGATTGAATCCTAGAGTTGGAAGAGACCCCAAGGGCTACTCAGTTCAAACCCCTTCTGCCATACAATTAGACACCATCAAAGCCCTCCCAACAGATGGCCATCCAGCGTTTGTTTACAAACCTTCAGGCATGGAGGCTCCATCATCATTGTTGTTGTTCCTATTGTTATTATTATTGAATCCTAGAGTTGGAAGAGACCCCAAGGACCACTCAGTCCAAACCCCTTCTACCATACAGTTAGACACCATCAAAGCCCTCCCAACAGATGGCCATCCAGCGTTTGTTTACAAACCTTCAGGCATGGAGGCTCCATCATCATCATCATTGTTGTTGCTCCTATTGTTATCATTGTTGAATCCTAGAGTTGGAAGAGACCCCAAAGGCTACCCAGTCCAAACCCCTTCTGCCATACAATTCGACACCATCAAAGCCCTCCAAACAGATGGTCATCCAGCGTCTGTTTACAAACTTCAGGCATGGAGGCTTCACCATCATCATTGTTGTTCCTATTGTTATTATGATTGAATCCTAGAGTTGGAAGAGACCCCAAAGGGCCACTCAGTTCAAACCCCTTCTGCCATACAGTTAAGACACCATCAAAGCCCTCCAAACAGATGGCCATCCAGCATCTGTTTACAAACCTTCAGGCATGGAGGCTCCACCATCATCATTGTTGTTCCTATTGTTATTATTATTGAATCCTAGAGTTGGAAGAGACCCCAAGGACCACTCAGTTCAAACCTCTTCTGCCATACAATTAGACACCACCAAAGCCCTCCAAACAGATGGCCATCCAGCGTCTGTTTACAAACCTTCAGGCATGGAGGCTCCACCATCATCATTGTTGTTCCTATTGTTATTATTGTTGAATCCTACAGTTGGAAGAGACCCCACTCAGTCCAAACCCCTTTTGCCATACAGTTATACACCATCAAAGCCCTCCAAACAGATGGCCATACAGTTAAAGGTAAAGGTAAAGGTAGTCCCCTGACATTAAGTCCAATCATGTCTGACTCTGGGGTGTGGTGCTCATCTCCATTTCTTAGCTGAAGAGCCAGCGTTGTCCGTAGACACCTCCAAGGTCATGTGGCCGGCATGACTGCATGGAGCGCCATTACCTTCCCGCCGGAGCGGTACCTATTGATCTACTCACATTTGCATGTTTTCGAACTGCTAGGTTGGCAGAAGCTAGGGCTGACAGCGGAAGCTCACGCCGCTCCCTGGAATCGAACCTGCGACCTATCGATCAACAAGCTCAGCAGCTCAGTGCTTTAACCCACTGCGCCACCGGGGGCCCCGGCCATACAGTTAGACACTATCAAAGCCCTCCGAACAGATGATCATCCAGAGTCTGTTTACAAACCTTCAGGCATGGAGGCTCCATCATCATCATTGTTGTTGTTCCTATTGTTATTATTATTGAATCCTAGAGTTGGAAGAGACCCCAAGGACCACTCAGTTCAAACCTCTTCTGCCATACAATTAGACACCACCAAAGCCCTCCAAACAGATGGTCATCCAGAGTCTGTTTACAAACCTTCAGGCATGGAGGCTCCATCATCATCGTTGTTGTTGTTCCTATTGTTATTATGATTGAATCCTAGAGTTGGAAGAAACCCCAAGGACCACTCAGTTCAAACCTCTTCTGCCATACAATTAGACACCATCAAAGCTCTCCCAACAGATGGCCATCCAGCATTTGTTTACAAACCTTCAGGCATGGAGGTTCCATCATTGCTGTTGTTATTTAATCCTAGTGTTGGAAGAGACCAACCCTCTCCATACTGTTAGACACCATCAAATCTCTCCTGATAGATGGCCATCCAGCCTCTGCTTGCAAACCTCCAGAGAAGGAGACCCCAGCAAACTTCAAGGCAGCGAATTGCTCTTACCGTCCCATTTGGGGGGGGGAAAGCCACGAAACAGTTAATTAAACTAATTAAAGCAAGGAAGTAAATATAATAAATAGAGTGGGGTAAAGTCTTCAAAGCCTGGTCGATAACCATCAGCTCTGCAATAAAACCGCCTGGGAAAAGGAAGATGCAGGAAAACAACAATAACATCGCCAGGAGGTCACAGCAAGATCATTATTCGGTACTACGAAGAATTGTATTCCAGATCGTTGCATTAAATAATTTATTTTCTGGGTGGCTTTGTGCAAGTCACACTCTCTCAGCCTCAGAGGAAGGCAAAGGGCACATTTTGGCAATCAACCCCAGTGGGAGATTTGCCAGGTCTAAGGGATATTTGCACTGATACATTTCATTTGCCTCCATACAGCAGCAATATATAGAAGTCCAATGGGAAGGTGCTGCTCTCTGCTGGTGAGATTGCAGAATGTCGCTTGGCACTAAAAGGAGGAATGAAACCAAACATACATACATACAATTACATACATACATACATACATAAGGGAAGGGAAGGAAAAGATGAAAGGGATGGAAATGGCTGGGCAATGCGAAGAGAAATAAAAAAGAAAAAGAAAGGAAGAGAAAGAAAAAAAGGAAAGAAGGAAAGAAAGAAGGAGGAGAAAGAAGAGGAGAGGAAGGAAGAAGAAGGAGAAAGGAGGAAGGAAAGGAAGAAAGGAAGGAAAGGGAAGGAAGAAGGAAGAAGGAAGAAAGAAGGAGGAAGAAGGAAGGAAAAGAAGAAGGAAGAAGAAGAAGGAGAAGAAGAAAGAGGAAGGAAGAAGGAAGAAAAGGAAAGAAGGAAAGAAGAAAGAAAAGAAGGAAGGAAAAGAATAGATTGGGCAATTCCAAGAGAAAGGAAGGGAGGGAGGGAGGAAGAATAAGAAAGGAAAAGAAAGGATTGCTTGAGCAATTCAGAGAGAAAGAAAAGAAAAAATGTAGGGAAGGAAGGAAAGAAGGAAAGAAGGAAGGAAAGAAGGACAGAAGGAAGAAAGGAAAGAAGAAAGGAAGGAAAGATGGAAGAAAGGAAAAAAGAAGAGGGAAAGAAGGAAAGAAGAAAGAAAAGAAGGAAGGAAAAGAATAGATTGGGCAATTCAAAGAGAAAGGAAGGGAGGGAGGGAGGAAGAATAAGAAAGGAAAAGAAAGGATTGCTTGAGCAATTCAGAGAGAAAGAAAAGAAAAAATGTAGGGAAGGAAGGAAAGAAGGAAGGAAAGAAGGACAGAAGGAAGGAAGGAAAGAAGAAAGGAAGGAAAGATGGAAGAAAGGAAAAGAAGAGGGAAGAAGAAAGAAAAGAAGGAAGGAAAAGAATAGATTGGGCAATTCAAAGAGAAAGAAAGGAGGAAGGAAGAGAAAAGGAAGGAGGGTAAGAGAAAGGAAAAGAAAAAAGAGGAAAGAAGAAAAAGGAAAGAAGGAAGAAAGGAAAAAGGAGAAGAAAGAAAGAAGGAAAGGAGAAGGAAGAAGAAGGAAGGAAAAGAGGAAGGAAAGAAAGGAAGGAGGAAAGAAGAAGAAAGAAAAAGGTAGGGAAGGAAGGAAAAAGGAGAAGAAAGGAAAGGAAGGAAGGAGGGAGGAAGAAGAAGGAAGAAAGAAGGAAAGAAAAGAAAGAAGGAAAAAAGGAAGGAAGGAAGGAAGGAAGGAAGGAAAAGAAAGGAAAGGATTGCTTGAACAATTCAAAGAGAGAGAAAAAGAAAAAAGTTAGGGAAGGAAGGAAGAGAAGAAGGAAGGAAAGGAAGAGAGGAAGGAAGACAGAAAGAAAAGAGAAGAAAGAAAAAAGAAAGAAGAAAGAGAAGAAAGAAGGAAGAAAGGAAGGAAGAAGAAAAAGAAGAAAGAAAGGAAGGAAGGAAGGGAAAAAATAAGGGAAAGAAAGGAGAGGAAGAAAAAAGGAACAAGAAGGAAGGAAGGAAGGAAGGAAGGAAGGAAGGAAGGAAGGAAGGAAGGAAGGAAGGAAGGAAGGAAAGAAAAGGAAAGAAAAGGAGGAGGGAGAAGGAAAGAAGAAAAAGAAAGGAAAAAAGAAGGAAGGAGGAAGGAAGGGAAAGGAGGAAAGGAAGGAAGGAAGGAGGAAGAGAAGGAAGAAAGGAAAGAAAGGAAAGAAAGAGGAAGGAAGAAAGAGGAAAAAGAAAAAGAAAAGGAAAGAAGAAGGAAGAAAGGAGGAAAAAGAAAGAGGAAAAGAAAGGAGAAGGGAAGGAAGAGAAGGAAGTAAGGAAGAAAAAGAAGGAGAAGAAAAGAAGAAAGAAGGAAGGAGGAAGGAAGAAGGAGAAAGAAGGAGAGAAAGAAAGAAGGAAAGAAAAAGGAGGGAAGGAAGGAAAGAAGAAAATTGGACAATGCAAAGTGAAAGAAAGACAGCACCTCCTGAAAAGGGAAGGAAAGAAAGGATGCAAAGAGAGAGAAAGCAAAGAAGAATAAAGAACTGATGATGGGAAACAAACTGCAAAACCAGAAGCGTTGCCTCTCCCAGACAGAAGGCCTCAAAGCCAAACCATTCCGCATGAATGTGAATGGATCTCCAGGACAGACTGGAAAATCATTCCTTCCTCCAAACCCCAGAGACTCCAGGGAAGAGACCTGGAACGGGAGACGCAAAGGAAAGAAAGGAAGAGAGGATGAAAGAAAGGGAAAACGTGTTGTCCTTCAGCCCACTGAATGGCTACTGTGGTTTCAAGGCCCAAAAGAGGCCCCAGCGTTGGTCTCCGTCCGCACAGCGCCCCAGTTTCGCCCGCCATCCGGAAGCCATGGATTCAAATTCGATCCCCGAAAATTCCTGCATGAAGGAAAATAATAATAATAATAATAATGATAATAATAATTGGCAGTTAAAGCAGTATGTATATATGTGTGTGTATGTGTGACTCAAGAAGACTCCAACAGCGTATGTTACCCCAAAAGTCATCTAGTCCAGCCCCATTCTAACATACAGGAAAACACAAGCAAAGCCCTCCCAACAGATGGCCGTCTAGTTTCTGCTTCATAGCCTCCAGAGACTGAAACAGACTTCTGACAGTCTAAACTAGAGTTGGAAGGGTACCCCAAAGGTCATCTAGTCCAGCCCCATTCTAACATACAGGAAGACACAAGCAAACACTTCCCAACAGATGGCCGTCTAGCTTCTGCTTCATAGCCTCCAGAGACTGAAACAGACTTCTGACAGTCTAAACTAGAGTTGGAAGGGTACCCCAAAGGTCATCTAGTCCAGCCCCATTCTAACATACAGGAAGACACAAGCAAACACCTCCCAACAGACGGCCGTCTAGTTTCTGCTTCATAGCCTCCAGAGACTGAAGCAGACTTCTGACAGTCTAAACTAGAGTTGGAAGGGCACCTCAAAGGTCATCTAGTCCAGCCCCATTCTAACATACAGGAAGACACAAGCAAAGCCCTCCCGACAGATGGCCGTTTAGCTTCTGCTTCATAGCCTCCAAAGACTGAAGCAGACTTCTGACAGTCTAAACTAGAGTTGGAAGAGCACCCCAAAGGTAATCTAGTCCAGCCCCATTCTAACATACAGGAAGACACAGGCAAACCCCTCCCAACAGATGGCCGTCTAGCTTCTGCTTCATCTACTCCAGGGACTGAAGCAGACTTCTGATATTCTAAACTAGAGTTGGAAGGGTACCCCAAAGGTCATCTAGTCCAGTCCCAAGTTGTTGTTGTTATTATTATTTATAATTATTATATTGCTTTTATTATGTATACTATTTATTAGTAATTATATTATTATTATTTATTATTATTATCCATTACTATTACTATTCTAATGTTTTTTTTTACTATTATTTATTATATTGTTATTCTTTACTTCTGCTTAAAGGCCCCATCTACATTCTAACACACAGAAAGACACAATTAAAGCCCTCCTAACAGATGGCCATTTAGCTTCTGTCCAGCCTCATTCTAACATACAGGAAGACACAAGCAAACCCCTCCCAACAGATGGCCGTCTAGCTTCTGCTTCATAGCCTCCAGAGACTGAAGCAGACTTCTGACAGTCTAAACTAGAGTTGGAAGGGCACCCCAAAGGTCATCTAGTCCAGCCCCATTCTAACATACAGGAAGACACAAGCAAACACCTCCCAACAGACGGCTGTCTAGCTTCTGCTTCATAGCCTCCAGAGACTGAAGCAGACTTCTGACAGTCTAAACTAGAGTTGGAAGGGCACCCCAAAGGTCATCTAGTCCAGCCCCATTCTAACATACAGGAAGACACAAGCAAAGCCCTCCCGACAGATGGCCGTTTAGCTTCTGCTTCATAGCCTCCAAAGACTGAAGCAGACTTCTGACAGTCTAAACTAGAGTTGGAAGGGCACCCCAAAGGTCATCTAGTCCAGCCCCATTCTAACATACAGGAAGACACAAGCAAAGCCCTCCCGACAGATGGCCGTTTAGCTTCTGCTTCATAGCCTCCAAAGACTGAAGCAGACTTCTGACAGTCTAAACTAGAGTTGGAAGAGCACCCCAAAGGTAATCTAGTCCAGCCCCATTCTAACATACAGGAAGACACAAGCAAACACCTCCCAACAGACGGCCGTCTAGTTTCTGCTTCATAGCCTCCAGAGACTGAAGCAGAATTCTGACAGTCTAAACTAGAGGTGGAATTCAAGCCCTCCCAACTAGGCCTGTAGCGAGGGGGGGGGGGTTTAGGGGTTCACCCCCGCCCCCCCGAAATGTTTCAGATTTTTTTTAAAAAACCTGGTTTACTCATGAATTTTAACTGGTTAACCAAATCCCCATGCTAAGTCTATGAGATGCAAAAAAATCAAGAGTCCCTCCAGAACTGCAAGCACTATCTCAAGCAAATATTAGCAATTTATTCACACTGTCATTACTTGCAGCAATAGCCGATGTAGTTGTTCTGGTACAGCTGTACCAGGAGCTCCAACTTTATTTGCTTTGTATTAAATGTTTGCTTGCAATCCTAGGTTTCAGGGACTCTGCAGATAGGTGGCTTCTTTGGTTGCAGTCATAGGGCAAGTCACCTGTCCATCATTGTTAAGTTTTGGTCCTGCCCCCTGCTCAGGGCAATTGGGAAGGGAGCAATTTTTAGTTAGTCTCAGCAAGGTAAGCTTATGTATAGGATGTGTGCAAGCTTCCCCTGTACAAAAGCTTCAACCCTTAAGACCTTCCGGGGGAGAAAGGTCTTAAGAGTCTCTAAAGAATTTCCAGGAAAACAGCCCTAAAGACCAAAGAACTCCAGCTGGAGAACATCTACTGCCTTGCTGGTAGGTCCACTCAGCGTTCGAGACGCAGTTCGACCCGGTAGCGGAGCCCACATCAGTAAGGGTTAGATTACAGTCAGCCTGGGAGAAGTTAAAAAGGGGATTTTCCTTTAAAGAAGAAGTTATTGAAGACAGTTGCCTGTCCTTCGTGGGCAAGATTAGGAATTCACCAGTTGCCTAAAAGCTTGGAATCATTTGCTTAACTTTACTGAAGACAAGAGAAGTTTCTGTTTGATTGTTCATTAATAAAAGACTTTGTTGTACTTCTCAAGCCATCTAAAGACTGTTTGTGGTGGAAACCTCTGAGAACTTCTCTTTAGGCCCCCTGGCTTCCCGCTGGGCAAAGGTTGCACATCCTGTTCTAAAGACAATTATTTACAGGCCCAGCGCGACAGAACAGTAGTGAAGCAACCAAGTTTGGGGGGGGGATGTTGAATGCTCTCATTAAGGAGGCCAGACTTGGTGGAGGTGGTTGACAAGGGCGGAGCTGCAGGCTATTGAAGGCTGCTCTGCCCCCTGCTGTGCTCTTTGCTTCAGCGCCGTGAGCTAGGAGGCAGGTTTCAACCCCCTCCCCGTGAAATTTTCACACCCCCCCCCGAAAATGTCAACCCCTCCCGAAAAATTTTTCTTGCTACGGCCCTGCTCCCAACAGATGGCCATTCAGTTATAGATAGATACAATGACTATGGATCATAGGATCTTAGAGTCGGAGGAGACCCCAAGAGGTAATCCAGTCCAACCCCCTTCTGCCAGGCATCATCAAAGTCCTCCTGACAGATGGCCATTCAGAGAAGGAGACTCCAATGGACTCCTGTAGTGAATTTTATGATCTATGTTGTATTTTTTGGTGTGTAACTCAAAGGTTACAATATGGCTGATAGGGAAGAATTGGCTCAAATAGGGTAGCAACAGTGAAGGCAGGATTAATTTGCATATGTGAAGCCGATTGGTCGTATGCAGATGAGAGTACGCCATGATTCGAAAAGGCCGCTGAGCCAGAATGGCAGTTACAGAACTGAACATTCTAAAGGGGCGGAGTCAAGTTTGAAAGAAGCAGTTAGAGTTTGTCAGTTGAAAAAGAGAAGTGGGGAGAGTTAGAAACCTCAGTTAGAGAGAAGCAGTCAGGAAAATAGAGCTCAAGGTTTAAGGAAAAATAAGAAGGTGCCAGTGTGGCCTAAGTCAGAAAATAGTTCAGCCAAGGGTATATGAAGAAAGTAACATATTTGTTGATGTGAGACAGTGAGGGTTTCATAAGAAAAGTTAACTGAGTGAATGTTACTGAATGTAAGACTCGAGACTGTAACAAAACACAAATGTAACATAAAGCTTTGGAACCAGAAGCTACAAATAAACTTTGTTACTTGGTTGCTTACCGGAGTGTCTCAAGCATGTGATATCTATATATATATATAAGAATCTGAAGGGCGTCCTTAGGCGGTCAAAAACGGAGAAACCACCGGACGAAATCTCACCAAATTTGGCCTGCTAATACCTCTTCCCCCAAGGTATGACCAACAACCCTCAAAACACCAATACGCAACAACACAAACACACAATACCCGAAAAACACAGAGCATGCGCAGAGGCCTCGGGAGGAATACGATGAGGAAGGACTCCATTTCCCAGCTTCCCCCGCGCCCAAGTTGCCCTCCGCATGCGCACTGCTGCCTGCCTGCCTGCCTCCCTCTACCCCATCACTCCCGCCACTGCCTCAGATACACAGATGAGCCCAGCCTGAGAAAGCTCACCAGGCCGATGTAAGCACTAACAGCCGGGGAGGGCATGGAAGCTGCGGGGGGCCGCCGAGGGCAACAAAAACTACACGCGACGGGAGGCCCGCTGTCTTCTCCTAAGCCGGGGCCTCGATTTCTGCCGCGGCCTGGCGCCCCTCTTGCCTTCGGCGGCCTCCGAACCTGCCCGGTGGGAGGTGGGTCTCTCCCAAATGGTTCTCTTGCCCGCTGCTGTTTCACTTTTTTTTAACAATGTACTCCTCATTTCTGGGATTTACGGTTTTGAACCACACTTGGCACACTGAACTCCCATGACCAACAGATAATACTGCAACGGTTTGGTGCCCATTGACCTTTCCTTTCGGTATTGTGAAAGAAAAGGGTAGTGAAGGAAGGAAGGAGAGAAGGAGGGAAAGAAGGAGGGAAGGAGAGAAGGAAGGAAAGAAAAGGGTAGAGAAGGAAGGAAGGAGAGAAGGAGGGAAGGAGATAAAGAAGGAAAGAAAGAAGGGTAAAAACGGAATGAAAGAGAGAAGGAGGGAGAGAAAGAGGGAAAGAAGAAGGGAAAGAAGGAGGGAAGGAGAGAAAGAAGGAAAGAAAGAAGGGCAGAGAAGGAAGGAAGGAGAGAAGGAGGGAGAGAATGAAATAAAAAAGTGAAAGAGGGAAGAAAGGAGAGAAGGAATGAAAGAGAGAAAGAGGGAAGGAAGGAAAGAGACAAGGAGGGATGGAACAAAGAAACAGGTAGAGAAGGAAGAAAGAAGAAGGGAAAGAAAACAGGACAGAAACAGAGTACGTCCCAGGTATTAAAGTGGCGACAGAAAACTACATATGTGGTGTGGCGTTACGTATTCAGTTATGTGCAATGTTACGCCCCACAACTCCCAATGCCATCTATTGACCCACCTGAATGAATGGTTCCCTGCTCTTCTCCAGCTCCTCCAGCTCTTGGTTCAGCGCTAGCAGCATCCGCTCCGTATGGTCCAAGGCCTTCACCTGGACGAAGCCAGCCTCCTGCAGCACCTGCAGAAAGATAGACAGAGTAGTCGCAGAACGGGAGCTGATGGTGTGATGCGGCAGCAAATACGGCCAATACGATTCTAGGCTGCATCCAGAGGAGATTGAGAAATTTGCAAGAGCAGCTCAAACGAATGCTTGGATTCGACCTTGTATATATCATACCTGGCCGTATTCTTCTGGGGTGAGCAGACTATATCCTCTTTGATTGACGTATTCGGTGAAGACTCTTGACCAGGGACGAGGGCCACAGCAATAGTCAGAGATGAGGAGCTGCCCACCTGGCTTCAGCCACGACTAGGGAAGGAATTATTATTATTATTATTATTATTATTATTATTATTATTATTATTATTAATAATAATAAAAACACAAACAATCAAGATCACTATGCTAGTTGGCGTATTGGATCACACGTGAGACACTTCCCAAGTTGTTGTTGTTGTTATTATTATTATTATTATTATTATTTATTATTTATTAATTACTATTATTAAAAACACAAACAAACAAGATAACCATGTTAATTGGTGTATTGGATCACACGTGAGACACTTCCCAAGTTGTTGTTGTTGTTATTTATTTATTTATTATTAATTATTATTATTTATTATTATTATTAATTATTATTATTATTAGAGACACAAGAAAACAAGATCACTATGCTAGTTGGCGTATTGGATCACACGTGAGACACTTCCCAAGTTGTTGTTGTTGTTATTATTATTATTATTATTTATTATTATTTATTAATTACTATTATTAAAAACACAAACAAACAAGATAACCATGTTAATTGGTGTATTGGATCACACGTGAGACACTTCCCAAGTTGTTGTTATTTATTTATTTATTATTAATTATTATTATTTATTATTATTATTAATTATTATTATTATTAGAGACACAAGAAAACAAGATCACTATGCTAGTTGGTGTATTGGATCACACGTGAGACACTTCCCAAGTTGTTGTTGTTGTTGTTATTGTTATTATTACTATTATATTGCTTTTATTATGTATTAGAATCATAGAATCAAAGAGTTGGAAGAGACCTCATGGGCCATCCAGTCCAAGAAGCAGGAATATTGCATTCAAATCACCCCGGACAGATGGCCATCCAGCCTCTGTTTAAAAGCTTCCAAAGAAGGAGCCTATTTATTATTACTATTTATTAGTAATTATATTATTATTATTATTATTTATTACTATTATTCATTACTATTACTATTCTAATGTTTATTGCTATTATTTAGTTCTGTTTAAAGGCCCCATCTACATTATAACACACAGAAAGACACAATTAAAGCCCTCCTCACTGATGGCCATCTAACTTCTGCTTCATAGCCTCCAGAGACTGAAGAAGACTTCTGACAGTCTAGACTAGAGTTGGAAGGGCACCCCAAAGGTCATCTAGTCCAGCCCCATTCTAACATACAGAAAGACACAAGCAAACCCCTCCCGACAGATGGCCATCTAGCTTCTATCCAGCCCCATTCTAACATACAGAAAGACAAAAGCAAACCCCTCCCGACAGATGGCCATCTAGCTTCTGTCCAGCCCCATTCTAACATACAGAAAGACACAAGCAAAGCCCTCCCGACAGATGGCCATCTAGCTTCATAGCCTCCAGAGAGTGAAGCAGACTTCTGACAGTCTAGACTAGAGTTTGAAAGGCACCCCAAAAATCATCTAGTCCAGCCCCATTCTAACATACAGAAAGACACAATCAAACCCCTCCCAACAGATGGCCATCTAGCTTCTGTTTAAAACCCCCCAAAGACTCAAGCAGACTCCCGACAGGCTATACTAAGCTAGAGTTGGAAGCAAACCCCAAAGGCCATCTAGTCCAACCCCAGTCTGTCATAAAGACACAATCAAAGCTCTCCCAACAGATGCCCATTCAGGTTCTGTTTAAAAACCATCAGAGAGGGCACCAGATTCCCAGACTGTCTATATTATACTAGAATTGGAAGGGCGGATAGGAAGAAAGACACAATCAAACCCCTCCCAAGAGATGGCCATCCAGCCTTTGTTTTAAAACCTCCAGGGGAGGCTCTCACGGACTCCCTGACTGTCTATATTACACTAGAGTTGGAAGGGCTCCCCAAAGGTCATCCAATCCAGCCCGCTTTCCATAGTCAAGGAGGATTCCTTGCCTCCTTATCGAAAGGCAGGTTGGAATATACTAACCAGGAACCTCTGAAAGAGGGAGGCCTTGTCTGCCACATGGAGAATCGTGTCCCGGCTGTAAACCACGTCAAAAGACCCTTCTGGGAACGTCCTTCGGGTCGCATCGCCAATCTCAAACTGGACCTAAAAGGAGAGAAATTGCATTGACGACAGTACAATATTAGGAAGATAGAAGGCAATAGTGTATGGCCTTTGTTTTCTCCTTTTACCAGCGATCCAGTCTCCTTTTGGGCTCGTTCCAAAGCCATTTCGATCATATTGTGGGAGAGATCCATACCCAGAACTTCCACGCCGAATTCCTGGCAAAAAAATAATAATGAGTTTTCAAGCCATGTTCCAGTAGCATTCTCTCCTGACGTTTCGCCCACATCTATGGCAGGCATCCTCAGAGGTTGTGAGGTCTGTTGGAAACTAGGCAAGTCAGGTTTATATATCTGTGGAATGATGTCCAGGGTGGGAGAAAGAACTCTTGTCTGTTGGAGGCAAGTGTGAATGTTGCAATTGTACTGAATTGCCTTGCAGCTTCAAAGCCTGGCTGGTTGCTGCCTGAGGGAATCCATTGTTGGAAGATGTTAAATGGCCCTGATTGACTCTTGTCTGGCAGCAACCAGAAATATTTCAGACCTCACTACCTCTGAGGATGCTTACCATAGTTGCAGGCGAAACGTCAGGAGAGAATGCTTCTAAAACATGGCCATATAGCCCGAAAAAACCGACAACAACCCAGTGATTATGGCCATGAAAGCCTTTGACAATATATAGAGAGGAAACAATCAGGCACATCTAATCACCTCTCAACAAAAGATTGCCCCAGGCACTGCCAGGCCATCAAATGCTAATCAAGGTGGTCAGTTGAAACATTCACACCTAGCTCCAGCAGACAAGAGTCCTTTGTCCCACCCTGGTCATTCCACAGATATATAAACCCATTTTCCTAGTTCCAACAGACCTCACTACTTCTGAGGATGCTTGCCATAGATGCAGGCGAAACGTCAGGAGAGAATGCCACTAGAACATGGCCATATAGCCCGAAAAAACCTACAACAACCCAGTATTTCTTTACCTTCGCCATATAGAAATCGCCACCGCCGATCCCGCATCCGACGTCCAGCACTTTCTGAGATGGTTTCAGATTTAACAACTCCAGCAGCTCCTATTATATATATAATAATAATAATATAATATAATATAATATAATATAATATAATATATTGTATATATACATATAATATTTATAAAATTATAATATTTATAATATTATAATGTAATATAATATCAATCAACCCAGGCAGCAACCAGAAATATTTCAGACCTTACTAATTATAATATGATAGTATAATTATATATATATTTATATTACATGTAATATTACTAATAATATTAGTAATAATATTACTAATAATATAGTAATAATACTAATAATAATATTACAATATAATAATATTATAATTATATATATTTTATATTCATGTAATATTACTAATAATATTAATAATAATATTACTAATAATATAGTAATAATAATAATAACATTACAATATAATAATATGATATTATAATTATATATATTTATATATTCCATGTAATATTACTACTAATAGTAGCAATAATATTATAATAATATTATAATAATCTAATATACATATTACAATATAATAATATAATATAAATTAAATTATAATTTTATATTCAATGTAATATTACTAATAATATTAAGTATATATTAATATTACAAAATATATAATAAATAATATAATATATTAATATAATAATATAATATAATAAATATAATATAATATAATATAATATAATATAATATTATACATATAATATTTATAATTATAATGTAATACAATATAATATATATATAATAATGTGATATTATAATTATATATTATTAATTTATATATGTAATATTACTAATAATATTACAATATTAATATTATATAAGAGAATAATACTAATACTAATAATATTTACATAATATAATATATTATATTATTTATAATATAATTATATTATATTATTGTATATTATAATATATTATAAATAATAATATATTATAAATATAATATAATATAATAATATAATATATAATATATAATATAATATAATATAATATATATATAATATAATAATATAATAATATAATAATATTATAGTAATATAATATATTATATTATAAAATAATAATATACAATTATTATAATATAATAATATAATATATATTATATTATAATATAATATAATATACAATAATAATATTATAATATAATATAATTATATAATATATAATATAATAATATTATAATAATATAATATAATATAATATAATATAGTTTATAATATAAAATATTATATATACATATAATATTCATAATAATGTTATGCAATATAATATTAAGAATACAATATAATAATTTTATATTATGTATTACATGTATTATTACTAATAATATTGCAGTAGAATGATATTACGAATAATATAGTAATAATACTACTACTAATAATAATATTACAATATAATGGTTGTAGTGCAATATAGTAAGATATAATACTGCTATTGTAGTATGCAAATAATATAATATATTGTACGGACAATGGGATATGTAGTACCTTCACCCAGTTCACCTCCCACAGCCCACTGCGACCCCCACGAATTATGGTTCTGGACCAAACTTGGCACACAGACTTCCCATGACCAAGAGAACATACTGGAGATGTTTGGGGGAAATTGACCTTCATGAGAGTTATAGTTCACCTGCATCCAAAGAAACTGTGACTCTCTGCTGACAATGGACTGGGACAAAACTTGGTATTGCTGGCTCTCTGTCACCAGCCTTGGGGTGCCTAACTAAAGGGGTACCCTTCAGTATAGAGAAGCCCCATGACCAACTGAGCATATTGCAGGAGTTTGGGGGAATGAACCTTGATGTTGGGAGTTGTAGTTCACCCTTATCCAGAGAGCCCTGAACGCAGCCAACGTCAGATATGGGCCAAACTTGGCACGTGGATCCAACATACCCGACTGTGCATACAAGTGGGATTTGGGGGTGAATGATCTTGGCTCTGGGAATTGTAGTTCACCCTTATCCAGAGAGCCCTGAATCCAGCCGACATCAAATTTGGGCCAAACTCAGCACACGGACCCAACATACCCAACTGTGCATACAGGTGGGATTTATCTTGGCTCTGGGAATTGTAGTTCACCCTTATCCAGAGAGCCCTGAACCCAGCCGACATCAAATTTGGGCCATACTCAGCACACGAACCCAACATACCCAACTGTGCATACAGATGGCATTTAGGGGTGAATGATCTTGGCTCTGGGAATTGTAGTTCACCCTTATCCAGAGCCCTGAATGCAGCCGACATCAAATTTGGGCCATAATCAGCACACGGACCCAACATACACAGCTGAGCATACAGGTGGGATTTAGGGGTGAATTATCTTGGTTCTGGGAATTGTAGTTCACCCTTATCCAGAGATTGCTGAACCCAGATGACGTCACATCTGGACCACACTTGTCACACAGTCCCAACATGGCGAACTGTGCATACAGGTCTGGTTGTGGAGTAATTGTCCTTGGCTCTGGGAGTTGTAGTGTATTCCAGAGATGGCTGGTCCCTTTGGAGCCCTCTGGTGGACACAATAATATTGCACCCGCCTATATTCTGCGCCTTCATTCAACCAAATTGAACAAGGACGCCAATATGCAGTCCTTTGCTGCCATCAAGTGGCCAAATTGGAAATTGCAGCCTTGGGCTGCCATCATGTGGATATAATGGGAAACTGCACCTCTATGTTAAGGAAAAATAATATACTATGGCTGTTTAATCCTGGGAGGTCTAGTTTTACAAAGGTTTGAACGAGATACTGCTGGTGCCATGCCAGACTACAACTCCCAGCATCCCCCAATGTAGACAGACATGGCTTTGGTTGCAATAGTTTTTCTCTGCTTTCTAGAAATCATGGTTCAGCGCTCTGTAATCCTGGGAGTTGTAGTTTTGCAAGGGCTTCTCTTCTGAATCATGCCAGTGACTCACCCCACTGCGACGGTGCAACGAAGGCACATTTTGGCACAGCTTCCAATTGCTGAGACTCCATGCTTTGAGCCACTGGGATTTGTAGTTTACCCTGGTCCCATCGCTCTCTGATAGGCTGCAATGACCTCCACTTGAACTTCTAAGAACTCGGGTAACGCCAGGTAGCCAAACTAATTATAAATTACATTACCTTCCTCTTCTTGAGGCTTGAGGTGAAGTATATTATTATTATTATTATTATTATTATTATTATTAAGCTTATTATTATTAAGCTTAAGGAGTTGTAGTTTACCCTACAGCCCGAGAGCACACTGAACCCCGCCAATGATGCATCTAGAGCAAACTTGCTCAACTTTAAGTTCTGAAGGATTTTTTCAGGGTTAATTAAGTATGATGGGAGTTGTAGTTCACCCACAAACATATGCATTTTGGACAATGGAAAATAGACTTTTTTCAAGTCACCAAGCTAGTATTATAATAAATATAATACAATTTACAACGTTTGCTTAAAGCGGTTTCAAACTGCGTTAACTCCGCAGTGTGGACGCACCTTGGTGGTACTGGGAGTTATAGTTCACCCACAAACATATGCATTTTGGACAATGGAAAATAGACTTTTTTCAAGTAACCAAGCTAGTATTATAATAAATATAATATAAGTTATAAAGGGGTTTCAAACTGCGTTAACTCCTCAGTGTGGACGCACCTTGGTGGTACTGGGAGTTGTAGTTCACCCACAAACATATGCATTTTGGACAATGGAAAATAGACTTTTTCAAGTAACCAAGCTAGTATTATAATAAATATAATATAAGTGATAAAGCGGTTTCAAACTGTGTTAACTCCACAGTGTGGATGCACCTTGGTGGTACTGGGAGTTATAGTTCACCCACAAACATATGCATTTTGGACAATGAAAAATAGACTTTTTTCAAGTCACCAAGCTAGTATTATAATAAATATAATACAAGTTGCAACGCTTGCTTAAAGCGGTTTCAAACTGCGTTAACTCTGCAGTGTGGACGCACCTTGGTGGTACTGGGAGTTATAGTTCACCCACAAACATATGCATTTTGGACAATGAAAAAATAGACTTTTTTCAAGTCACCAAGCTAGTGTTAGAATAAATGTAATATAAGTTACAACGCTTGCTTAAAGCGGTTTCAAACTGCGTTAACTCCGCAGTGTGGACGCACCTTGGTGGTACTGGGAGTTGTAGTTCACCCACAAACATATTCATTTTGGACAATGAAAAAATAGACTTTTTTCAAGTCACCAAGCTAGTATTATAATAAATACAATACAAGTTACAACGCTTGCTTAAAGCGGTTTCAAACTGTGTTAACTCTGCAGTGTGGACGCACCTTGGTGGTACTGGGAGTTATAGTTCACCCACAAACATATGCATTTTGGACAATGGAAAATATACTTTTTTCAAGTCACCAAGCTAGTATTATAACAAATATAATATAAGTTACAACACAAAACTTAAAGCGGTTTCAGACTGCATTAACTCCGCAGTGTGGATGCACCTTGGTGGTACTGGGAGTTGTAGTTCACCCACAAACATATGCATTTTGGACAATGGAAAATAGACTTTTTTCAAGTAACCAAGCTAGTATTATAATAAACATAATACAAGTTATAATGCTTGCTTAAAGCGGTTTCAAACTGTGTTAACTCCGCAGTGTGGACGCACTTTGGTGGTACTGGGAATTATAGTTCACCCACAAACATATGCATTTTGGACAATGGAAAATAGACTTTTTCAAGTCACCAAGCTAGTATTATAATAAATATAATATAAGTTATAAAGGGGTTTCAAACTGCGTTAACTCCTCAGTGTGGACGCACCTTAGTGGTACTGGGAGTTATAGTTCACCCACAAACATATGCATTTTGGACAATGGAAAATATGTTTGAACAATCAAATAATAGACTTTTTTCAAGTAACCAAGCTAGTATTATAATAAATGTAATATAAGTTATAAAGCGGTTTCAAACTGTGTTAACTCCGCAGTGTGGACGCACCTTGGTGGTACGGAGTCCTCCGGTGCTGACGAAGCCGGGGCCGAAGATCCACTCGTAGCGGCGGATGCTGCGGGCCGCGTACTGCTCCGTGTCCAGGAATTTCTGGACGGTTCCATATCCTCCGGCATCGTCTTGGTTGCGGGCGACTTTCTGGAGAAGCCAACAAACCTGGTTCCGGTTTCGCTTCCTCTGCAGAAAATACAGGATTTGATTGCGTTTCAAGTTGCTAGTCCTCAAGATCTTTGCGAATATAGCTCTACACTGACCCTATATGGCCATCCAGCCTTTCGTGGCCTTACTTTGCTTTTTGCTTCAGTGTTATCCCTGTGCTGGGGTAAGGCTGGGGCGGAAAGCACTCTGTTCGTGCTCAGAGGCACCCTTTCCCCAACGGACACTTACCTTGATGTACGTCTGCACAGAGCGGGACATGACGATCTCGAACCCGAAGAGCTCCTCTCCCGAAGACGTTTGGGCCGAAGCGAGGACGTGGTTATACTCTGCAGGCGTCCGATAGCGAGTGGGATTGAAGGCCCTGGGAGTGTCACCTGGAGTATCGAGAGAACCCCAAGGGTCATCTAGTCTAACCCCCGTTCTGTCATAAAGACACAATCGAAGCTCTCCCGACAGATGGCCACCCAGCCTTTGTTTAAAAACCTCCAGAGTTTCCCTACAGTCTATGCTACGCTTGAGTTGGAAGGGAACTCCAATGGTCATCTAGTCCAGCCCCATTCTGTCATAAAGACACAATCGAAGCTCTCCCGACAGATGGCCTCCCAGCCTTTGTTTAAAAACCTCCAGAGATTCCCAACAGTCTATGCTACGCTTGAGTTGGAAGGGAACTCCAATGGTCATCTAGTCCAGCCCCATTCTGTCATAAAGACACAATCGAAGCTCTCCCGACAGATGGCCACCCAGCCTTTGTTTAAGAGACTCCAGAGAAGACTCCATCGGAATCCCTGACTGTCTATATTACACTAGAGTTGGAAGGGAACCCAAAAGGTCATCTAGTCCAACCCTATTCTAACATATAGATAGACACAATCAAACCCTTCCTGACAGATGGCCATCTAGCTTCTGTTTAAAAACCTCCAGAGATTCAACCACACTCCCAACAGTCTATGCTACACTTGAGTTGGAAGGGAACTCCAAAGGTCATCTAATCCAACCTTGTTCTGTCATAAAGACACAATCAAAGCTCTCTCAACAGATGGCCACCCAGCCTTTGTTTAAAAGCCTCCAGAGATTCAAGCAGACTCCCAACTACACTTGAGTTGGAAGGGAACTCCAATGGTCATCTAATCCAACCTCATTCTGTCATAAAGACACAATCGAAGCACTCCTGACAGATGGCCATCTAGCTTCTGCTTAAAAGCCTCCAGAGACCCAAGCAGGCACCCGGCAGTCTATGCCACACTCCAAAGGTCATCTAGTCCAACTCCATTCTGTCATAAAGACACAATCGAAGCACTCCCGACAGATGGCCATCTAGCTTCTGCTTAAAAGCCTCCAGGACCCAAGCAGACACCCAGCAGTCTATGCTACACTTGAGTTGGAAGGGAACTCCAAAGGTCATCTCGTCCAACCCCATTCTGTCATAAAGGCACAATCGAAGCTCTCCTGACAGATGGCCACCCAGCCTTTGTTTAAAAGCCTCCAGAGATTCAAGCAGACTCCCAACAGTCTATGCCACACTTGAGTTGGAAGAGAACTCCAAAGGTCATTTAATCCAACCCCATTCTAACAAACAGAAAGACACAATCAAAGCCCTCCCAACAGATGGCCATCCAACTTTTGCTTCATAGCCTCCAGAGACTGAAACAGACTTCTGACAGTCTAAACTAGAGTTGGAAAGGAACTCCTAAGGCCATCTAGTCCAGCCCCATTCTGTCATAAAGACACAATCGAAGCTCTCCCAACAGATGGCCATCCAACCTTTCTTTAGGAGACTCCAGAGAAGACTCCACCTGACTCCCTGACTGTCTATATTACACTAGAGTTGGAAGGGAACCCAAAAGGTCATCTAGTCCAACCCCATTCTAACATATAGATAGACACAATCAAACCCCTCCAGACAGATGGCCATCTAGCTTCTGTTTAAAAGCCCCAGAAACTCAAGCAAATACTAAACTAGTGTTGGAAGGGAACCCCAAAGGCCATCTAGTCCTACCCATTATGTCATAATGACACAATCAAAGCTCTCCCGACAGATGGCCATCCAGCTTTTTTTAAAAGACTCCAGAGAAGACTACACCAGACTCCCTGACTGTCTATATTACACTAGAATTGGAAGGTAACCCAAAAGGCCATCTAGTCCAACCCCATTCTAACATATAGATAGACACAATCAAACCCCTCCTGACAGATGGCCATCTAGCTTCTATTTAAATGCCCCAGAAACTCAAGCAGACTCTATACTAAACTAGAGTTGGAAGGGAACCCCAAAGGCCATCTGGTCCAACTCCATTCTATCATAAAGACACAATCGAAGCTCTCCTGACAGATGGCCACACAGCCTTTGTTTAAAAGCTTCCAGAGACTCAAACAGACTCCCGACAATCTATACTAAACTATGGTTGGAAGGGAACCCAAAAGGTCATCTAGTCCAACCCCATTCTAATATACAGAAAGACACAAACAAAGCCCTCCCGACAGATGGTCCTCCAACGATGACTACCATGCGACAGTGTAGACACAACTGACCCGACTGGAAGAAGCAAGACTCTCGGAAGAAGAGATGGCCTCCGGGACGCAACCAACGAAGTAATTTCTGGGCTGCTTCGCTCAATTCGTCATCCGAGAGATACATGAAAAGCCAGTTGGAGAAGACGAAATCCAGGCTGAAGCAAAAGAAGAGGCAGAGGCAGTCAGCTCCATCCTCAAAACAGCTAAAGTGGAACCAAACCACATTTGTTCCACTGTGTAGATGCGCCCAGTTCATTCACCCACCTCTGGCTCGGCATCTCTAGGGTGGTAATATCCGCCTGTTTGAATGTGATGTTGCTCCGGTGCCCGTTTGCTTGTTGGTTTCGCGCCACGAAGCTCCCGATGAAGTCCACGGCCGTGACGTGGCGCGCCTGTTCCGCAAGGAATCCGGTGAACCGGCTGCAATAGGAAGCAATGGGATAAGTTCCATCCTATTTTAATGTTTACATACTCTTTATTAATATTAATATTAATAGACAACTTGATGAGTTACTTTCACAAAGTAATTAGTTACCATCATGCCCTATGAAATAGTTCACTGCGGTTGTAGTTACAAGTTTCAAAAGTTGTCTTTTAACTCAATCTTGCATAATAATAATAATTATAGGTAACTTGCTGAGTTACTTTCACAAAGTAATTAGTTACCATCATGCTCTATGAAATAGTTCACTATGGTTGTACTTACAAGTTTCAAAAATTACCTTTTAACTCAATTTTGCATAATAATTATAGGTAACTACCTGAGTTACTTTCACAAAGTAATTAGTTACCATCATGCTCTATGTAGTAAATAGTTCACTGATTGTAGTTACAAGTTTCAAAAGTTGTCTTTTAACTCAATCTTACATAATAATAATATTTATTATAGATAACTTGCTGAGCTACTTTCACAAAGTAATTAATTACCATCATGCTCTATGAAATAGTTCACTGTGGTTGTAGTTACAAGTTTCAAAAGTTGTCTTTTAACTCAATCTTGCATGATAATTATACATAACTTGCTGAGTTACTTTCACAAAGTAATTAGTTACCATCATGCTCTATGAAATAGTTCACTGCGGTTGTAGTTACAAGTTTCAAAAGTTGTCTTTTAACTCAATCTTGGATAATAATAAGAATTATAGATAACTTGCTGAGTTACTTTCACAAAGTAATAAGTTACTATCATGCCCTATGAAATAAATAGTTCACTACGGTTATAGTTACAAGTTTCAAAAGTTGTCCTTTAACTCAATCTTGCATAATAATAATAATAATAATAATAATAATAATAATAATGATAGGCAATTTAACAAGTTACTTTCACAAAGTATTTAGTTACAGCCATGCCCTATGCAAAAAATAGTTCACCATTGTTGTAGTTAGAAGTTTAAAAAGTGGTCCTTTAACTCAATCTTGCATAATAATAATAATAATAATAATAATAATAATAATAATAATAAAAATAATGGACAACTTGCCAAGTTTCTTTCACAAAGTAGTTAGTTACCATCATGCACTATGGAAAAAACAATGTTTGTAATTACAAATATCAAATGTTTAATTCAATCCTGGTTGTTAATCATGTGCTGCTAATTGAGCTGCTTCTGACTTAATGGAATCTCTTAAAAGACTAATAATAATAATAATAATAAATAATAGAATAATATAGAATAATAATAAAATATCAAATAATAATAATACATATAATATAGTATAATAAAGAATAATAATAAAATGTAGAATAATAATAATACACATAATAATAGTATAATATAGAATAATAGTAAAATATCAAATAATAATAATACAGATAATAATAGTATAATATATAATAATAGTAAAATAGTGAATAATAATAATACACATAATAATAGTATTATAGAATAATAATAAAATATCAAATAATAATAATACACATAATAATAGTATAATATAGAATAATAAATATCAAATAATAATAATACACATAATAATAGTATAATATAGAATAATAAATATCAAATAATAATAATACAATAATAATAGTATATATAGAAATAATAATAATAGCGAATAATAATAATATAGTATAATAATAAAATATTGAATAATAATAATACACATAATAGTATAATATAGAATAATAATAAAATATCAAATAATAATACACATAATAGTATAATATAGAATAATAAATATCAAAATAATAATACACATTAATAGTATAATATAGAATAATAAATATCGAATAATAATATACATAATAATATAATATAGAATAATAATAAAATATCAAATAATAATAATACACATAATAGTATAATATAGAATAATAAATATCAAATAATAATAATACAGATAATAATAGTATAATATATAATAATAGTAAAATATCGAAGAATAATAATTCACATAATAGTAGTATAATATCATGTCCCTGCTTCTCTCATTAACCCTCTTCCCCACCAGGGGCTCCTGTTGAGGTTGGCCAATCAGAAACCATATGCAAATTTCCTTTCCCTTCTCAGCCACTTGGGAGTCTTGGAGTGTTGTGGCTGGCCAATCAGAGACCTTATGCAAATAGCACCACAGTGGCAACCAATCAGAACGCTGGTACAAACATACCCACATACAAACATTGACTTTTATTATAGATATAGATATAGATTAAACTGCCAACTGGACGTGAGCCGATAGTGTGATGCGGCAGCTACAAAAGCCAATGCGATTCTAGGCTGTATCAATGAGAGTATATGGTCTAGATTGAGGGACTCACCCGATCCCAGCTCCCAGTTCCAAGACGTCTTGGCCTTCCAACGAAGGCAAAAGGGCCAGGATTTCGGGGGTGTCCTCTTGGGTGAGCTCCTCGGCCCCCGAATCCAGCATCATCTCCTGCAAAGAGCCATCCTGCGAATGCTCCTGCCAGAAGCGCCGCATCAGGAGGCGAGGGGAGGATTCTGGTGCTGGAAATCAAGAGATCCATCCCTAAAAGTCATCCAGTCCAACCCCTACAAATGTTTTTAAGTCCAGGCCAAGATCTTTAAGCACTGCACCCGGGGTGCCGATCAGCACTGAGACCACCTTCAATGGCTTGTGCCAGAATCTTTGCATTATTATTATTATTATTATTATTATTATTATTATTATTATTTGGCCTTTTGTAGCTGACAGATGATAATTTTGTCAGCGCGAATTGTTTTTAAGTCCAGGTCAAGGTCTTTAGGCACTGCACCCAGTGTGCCGATCACCACTGGGACCACCTTGATTGGCTTGTGACATTTGCACATTTGTCGAGAAATAGGGCTATGTAGAATAAGAGAATCCTAGAGCTGGTAGAGAACCCCCTCAAAGGCCGTTCAGTCCAACCTATACAAATGCATTAAGGCACCATCCAAACCTTCTCAACAGATGGCCATTCAGCCTCATAGACATTTGCAAATTTGTCGAGAAATAGGGCTATATTGAATCATAGAATCCTAGAGTTGGAAGAAAACCCCAAAAGCCATCCAATCCAACCACAACAAATGCATTAAGGCACCATCCAAACCCTCCCGACAGATGGCCATCCAGCCTTATAGACATTTGCAGATTTGTCGAGAAATAGGGCTATATTGAATCATAAAATCCTAGAGTTGGAAGAAAACCCCAAAAGCCATCCAATCCAACCACAACAAATGCATTAAGGCACCATCCAAACCCTCCCGACAGATGGCCATCCAGCCTTATAGACATTTGCAGATTTGTCGAGAAATAGGGCTATATTGAATCATAAAATCCTAGAGTTGGAAGAAAACCCCAAAAGCCATCCAATCCAACCACAACAAATGCATTAAGGCACCATTCAAGCCCTCCCGACAGATGGCCACCCAGCCTCATAGACATTTGCGGGTTTGACGAGAAATTGGGCTATATAGAATAATAGAATCCTATAGTTGGAAGAGAACCCCCCAAAGGCTATCAAATCCACCCCCAAAAATGCATTAAGGCACCATCCAAGCCCTCCCAACAGATGGCCATCCAGCCTCATAGACATTTGTGGGTTTCTCAAGAAATAGGGCTATATTGAATCATAGAATTCTAGAGTTGGAAGAGAACCTCCCCAAAAGGCTATCCAATCCAACCCCAAAAATGCATTAAGGCACCATCCAAGCCCTCCTGACAGATGGCCATCCAGCCTCATAGACAATTGTGGATTTGTCAAGAAATAGGGCTATATAGAATCATAGAATCCTAGAGTTGGAAGAGACCCCTCTCAAAGGCCATCCAATCCAACCCCAACAAATGCATTAAGGCACCATCCAAACCCTCTCGACAGATGGCCATCCAGCCTCATAGACATTTGTGGGTTTGTCGATAAATAGGGCTATATTGAATCATAGAATCCTAGAGTTGGAAGAGACCTCTCATAGGTCATGCAGTCCAACCTTCTTAATGCAGAAAGACACCATTCAAACCCTACCGAGAGATGGCCATCCAGTCTGAATGAAGTCTGCAGGTTTCTGGAAAAATAGGGCTATAGCAAATAATAGAATCTTAGAGTTGGAAGAAACCCCCAAAGGGCATGCAGTCCAGCTCCTACAAATACATTAAGGCACCATTCAAGCCCTCCTGACAGATGGACATCCAGCCTCAATGAAGTTTGAAGGTTTGTATAGAAACAGGGCTATGTAGAATAATAGAATCCTAATAGGAAGAGAACCCCAAAGGTTGAATCGAGTCCAACCCCAACAAATGTATTAAGGCACCATCCAAACCCTCCTGACAGATGGCCATCCAGCCTCATAGACAATTGTGGGTTTGTCGAGAAATAGGGCTATATAGAATCATAAAATCCTAGGGTTGGAAGGGACTTCCCATAGGTCATGCAGTCCAACCTTCTTAATGCAGAAAGACACCATTCAAACTCTTCCGACAGATGGCCATCCAGTCTGAATGAAGTCTGCAGGCTTCTGGAGAAAAAGGGCTATAGCAAATCATAGAATCTTAGAGTTGGAAGAGGCCTCCAAAGGGCCATCCAGTCCAACTCCTACAAATGCATTAAGGCACCATCCAAGCCCTCCCGACAGATGGCCATCCAGCCTCATAGACCACTGCAGATTCATGGGGAAATAGAATAATAGAATATTGGAGTTGGACAAGACCCCCAAGGACCATCCAGACCAACCCCATTCTTCCAGACTGGAAGACACCATCAAAGCATTCCCGACAGATGGCCATCAAGCCTATTCGTTTCTGGTGTTGTTGATTACATCGTCTAGAGACCTTTGGCTGGCCGGCGGCTTAGAAGTGAATTAGTGCTCACAATAGCAACAGAAAGTGAAAATGCTTGGCGGTGACCCTTGCACTGAGGAGTTGGCAGAGTAAAGGTCATCGGGCATAAAAAAAGGGAGAAGCCGGACATTGGTGATAGCAATGACGATGACCGCCATGAACTCTCCTTCTAAGCAGAGGCTGTGGATGGCCATCTGTCAGGAGGGTTTTGAGCAGAATAGGGTTGGACTGGATGGCCTTTGGGGTCCCTTCCATCTCTAGGATTCAATAATAATAATGGTGATGGAGTCATCTTATATTTTGGTTTTCAAGCAAAGCGTGAATGGCCATCTGTCGGGAGGGTTTTGATGGTATCTTTCCCCGTAGCAGAATAGGGTTGGACTGGATGGC